TTCTAATTTCTTCATGGTATTAGAGCATCTTCTCTACAACACTTGATGGAATCTTCCAACTCTTCCTCCTCAAATCTAGAGATGACTGAAATGGCTTCAAAGGAAGCTGCAGAGATAGATATTCTACCTCAACTAAAATTTCTCACGAAGAACTTGAGAAGTATTTTTCACACCCCGCTAACGACAGAAAGTTACTCTACCGAGCATTCTCAAGTGCTTAAAGTATTCAAAGCTAACGGGCTTGAAGGTTACATTGATGGTTCTATCTCCTGTCCTAGCAAGCATCTCCTCGATTCATATGGCTGGCCTATACCAAATCCAAGCTACACACAATCTTTATATTATGTCATTTCTTCTTCTTTATTACCTTATATCCTTAACCTAGACACTTGTAATAAATATGGGCCACTCACTACAGGAAAATCACTTATTACCGACGGAATTTTCCGGCGGCTTTCCGGCGGTCAAATTTCCGGCGGCTTAACAGATCGCAAGTCTACTTCAGGGTATTGCATTTTTATTGGGCCAAACCTCATCTCATGGGCCACAAAGAAGCAACCAACTATTGTTCGTTCCTCCACAGAAGCCGAATATCGTGCTTTGTTACTCCTTATCACTGAACTTATTTGATTAAGACGATTGCTTATAGAATTTCATATAGAGACTTTAGCTCCATCTCTCATTTATTGTGATAACATTTCAGCAATATTTTTAGCAAACAATATAATATTTCATACAAGAGCTAAACATATTGAAATTGATCATCACTTTATTAAGAAGTATATTAAGTCCAAAGCAGTTATAGTTCACCATGTGGCTTCTCATGATCAAATTGCTAATATATGCACTAAATCCCTTTCCAATATCATATTTCATTACCTTAGAGACAAATTGACCATACAACCTTGGATGATCAATTTGAAGGGGGCTGATAAAGCTAAATATGTAATCCACTCCTATTAATAATAACAAATTACTCTCAGCATAACGGCTTGCCTGCTCCACTACTGCTCTCCCTTTGCTACAGATTCAGAACTGTACATCTCAACCTTTGCTTTATAACTTCCTAGTTGCTATGAACCGTTGGATGAGTGTATTGTAGCTATATATAAGTAGTGTGAGATGTATTTGGTTGGGTTTGTGGATGAAGAGGCTACTTTATAGTCTCATCCTTTTATCTTACTGCTCCTGCTTTTCTAATATGTGTTATAGCTTATGAATTCTGTTTTAGCTTTTTACTATTTTTAATTTCTTCACTTTTTAATTTTTATATTATTATTATTAATTGTTTATTAAAATTGAAACATAGTTAATGACTTTTATTCTTTCATTTATATATAAATAGATTGAGTTTAAAAAATTATAATCAAAATTTATTAAAATAAATTAAAAATTTTTAATTTATTTTAAAATCAATACACTATAAGTTGATTTTTTTTCCCAGTTAAAACTATAGTAAAAATTGTATACAAAATAGAATTGGAAATTAATAAATCAATGCTAATTTAGTCACTTATATTAAGAAAAAAAAAAGAATTGTATTGATATTTGATAATAAAGTAATCATTCAATTCTTTTAGAATATGAAAAAAAAAAACATTATAAATTATAAGTTTTTTATCATCTTATGTTTTATCTTTTTTGAAATAATAAGTTTAATGAAAAATTTAAAAATTCTTCAATCTCAAGTCCAAATAAAAAAAATTAAGATAATATTTAAAAAAACTTAATTTGTGCCTCCACTAGAATAAATTTATGGCTCCACCACTAGAGGGTTGGAGATGTATAACAAAGGTAGAAAATGCACCAATAAGATGGGAACATAGCAGTAGTGTTGAAGAATTAAAAAAAAAAGAGAGATAGATTGAATGTGATTAAATGTAGATTGTGCAAAAATATTTGTGGGGAATAGGCTCTGCACATTATGCAGTAACCAATAAAAATGAATGGAAATTTTAAATTCATGAAATCACTTGTTACGATAAGGATAATGATGATGATTGTAAGATGTAAATCAGAATATCTCATTGAAAAGAAATACTATACTTGTTAAAAGGAAAATTTTGATTTCTTTATCCCGGTCATTTTTTAATCTAACCAAGCATAATTTGTACTTAATCAAGTCCATTTTTTCACCGACATGTGGGGTGCGGATTTATCGATATAAACAAGATTTGAATAAAAAATCTTGACAACAGCTTTTAAAAATCTTCACCAACTTGCATCCCCAAGGTGGTGCATCCTTACTCAAAAGCATGAATGAAAATTGGTCACTTATAAGAAGAACAATTTCAACAAACATACCTATTGTAAAAAGGAAAATAATTTTAAGTTATTTTTGAACAGTAAAATGAATTTTATTCTCATCAGGCTACATTTTCAATTTCATTTGCACTTTTTCAGTAAGTAGGATTGCAGTATCAACATCTAAAACACCTTCTTTGTACATGATAATTAGATGAAGCATATGACCCTTTTTTATAATCACTGTCCTGGATGATTCTTGACAATCACAGGTCAATGGCAAATAAATTGATCATCTTCCTCTTCTATGTATCTTTTGAATGTTTTAATAAGTGTTGTGTGATGACATCGCACACTGCATCAATTACACTGAACTACAAAAAACTCTACTCTGAATAGTCAAAATATTACTGGGGGGAGAATTTAAGCTCCTCAGTTGTACGAGAAAATTAGTTTAATATGGAATAAGGAAGAAAGAAAAATGAGGAATCTATATCAAAAAGCGGTAACAAATGAAAAATACATCTTGAAGAGGAAGAGATAGATGGGAAGAAACCACCATCAACAACAAGATCAATAGAAGGGTCTTACGGTAGATCCTCAAGAACATTATCATATCTCTGAAAAGATATTTTTGCAAGCTTGAAGGTCTTCATATACAATGCTAGACTGATCTATTTTAACTAAAGTATAGGATAGCAAACTATCTATCAAAAACTTTTTTTTTTTCCTTTTGTTTATCATTGGGTCTTATGATTGGATTTTGGCTAGTTGGCTAGGTTGGGTTGATTGATTGAGTTGCACTAAATTTTGATGCAATTTTATTTTCATAATAAGGTTTCTTTTATGGAAGTGTAATTTAAGAAACCAAGAACCTAAACTTGGCACCTCTTTGATAAGTAAACAAAGATAATTTACAAGGAGATATATAAATTCTTTCATTCCTTCCCCCAAAGCCAAATCAGTGTCAAGAGTTAACCAAAAGCTTCTTATAGATGAGTAACTTTTAGAACCCAAATGAGTAAATGATGCAACACATCAGAGACCAATTACAAGCCCCCTAGCAGGACCCTTGCACGTATAATTGATTAACTTGCAAGTCATTGTTGTCGTTTTCTACATCTTTTGTATTGATTTTCATTTGTTTTATCTATTGTAATTTTCTTTATTGATTTCAAAATCTTTGCATAATTGTATAATTGAAAAGTGTTATGCATGCAAGGAGGCCTTCCAACTCATCATTGGGACAGCCACATCACCAGAAAATGCCATATATTCTCCATAATCTATGCCAAGTCAAGGGGACAGCCACAAGGGAAGACTTGGTCAAACTTCAATCCACTTTTTAAGAGATCATGTCAAATGGTCAAGGAACAGACCAATTTTTCAAGAAAGCATGGTTAAATGGTTAAGGGATATGTTCCTAGAGAGCAATAGTCTTCCTCACATTCAAGGAACTAACTCTATAATCTCCTCAATGAAGTGGCCCATAGACTCCACTTCCTCAAAGATCAAAACCACCAAGAACCAAGTCCAATGGAAAAACAACTGCCCCTCATTTAGATTTTTTTTGTTTAAAATTTAATTGTATTTATAATGTTGTATTTTCTTTATAGCATTTTAGTTCAGGTTGTGAACATCTCCAGCTTATATAAATAGTCAAGTAAGCAATGAAAGAATTAAGACTTGTTTGTGGTTGTGTTCCACTATGGAATTCACTCCCTTTATTCAAGGTCAGATGCACGGAGGTTTGGTGACCTTCATGCCATAATCATCTATGCATATCTAATTTTATGTATGTTCTTAAAACTTCTCTTTCACCATGAGGTGGTGAAGGGTGACATCTTCCATCTCGAAGTTTGAAGGTCACTCATGGAAGATTTGATGTTTCCATGATTGCAACTCACCCACCATCCACCTTCATGCCCAGAAGAAAATATGGAAAATTAAAAAAAATCTCTAAGACTTTGGTGCTATCTCCTCATAGAGACCTTAGCCTCCTCCCTACACCTCCAAATTCTTCAACACCCCAAGATAAACCCTAGGCATCATTCGCCCATTCTAAATTATCCATAGAAAAGCCCTCATCAACATCTGTCCCTTCCAAATAAATCCCATAACCTTCCACGCCTCTCATCATCTTCACTGCACCTCTTCATAAATCACTCCATCCACTTAACTCTCGCCTCCTTAAAAAACCACCTTCCCATAGCCTGCACAAAGTCAAACCATCTCTGCATTCCTTATCCCATCATCCATACACCGAATAAGATTAGGTGAGCTCATTTCCTTCATCCAAAGTTCACCCATCCTACCACCATGTAAGGGATGGAAATCCACTAAAACTCCCACCGTACAACTCTCTCTACCAGTAAACATTAGGTAGGTGCATCAAAAAGTAAATTTTATGTGTAAAAACGGAGAATATAGAGAGAAAGAAAAAGAAGAGAGAGCATTTGGTAGAGAAATTCACTCATTCTCCATCACATTCTCTCACATCCATACTCTCCCTCTCTTCATAGTACTCATTAAGTAACAATCCCAACTTTTTATCCCCGAACAATCAACATCAAACTTCATCCTTTCTAATTTTTCACATCGGGTTCTAGCACGAAGGATCATTTGAAGATCAAAACAATTCCAATGTTCAAATTTTGATTTAAAAGCACACACCGAAATCTAGAACTTAGAGTACACTCAGAAAAAATGTTCGGGAAGAAACCAGAGTGAGCAATTGAAGGGACAGTTAGCTATACCTGTGCAAAAAAAGCAGCAACAGCAGCAGCAGGAGAGGAGGACCAGTCTGATGATCTTCGAAAAAGGATCAACGGCATCCTTTCTCTGTTCCAATGATGAAGGCATCGGAGAAGAGGAGGAGATCAGAGCTTCTCGGATCACGCAGCGGTCGTCGGAGGCGCATACTGAAGTAGCAGCTTTGCTTTGCCTTAATTGTTTCAGATTCCATTCGAACTTCGAGACGTAAGCGCAGCTGTAATAGTTCCTGATCTTTTGAGACGGCCATAGATGCATCTCTCCCTTCCACGGTTCTACTCTAATTTAGCCCCTTTGAGATTTCGAACAGGCGACGAGGGTTTTATTCCGTCAGTTTTGTAGCTATACGACAGGTGTCCGGAGTTTGCATATTGTTCTGTATTGTTAGGTATTAGTGGATTTTGTTAGATAAAAATGAAAAATAATATTTTGTGAAGGGCAATACCGAGTAATACCGAACAATACCGAGCAGTATCAAGCAATACCGAGTTCTTTTAGGCATTACTCAGTATTGTTCGATATTGATCTTCACATAGTGTATTTCTAGTTATTGCCAAGCAATACCGAGTAATACCTAGCAATACCGAGCAATACGCGAAAATAGTAATCCCGGATTCGGTCCGAGTCGGGTCGTCGGGCCGCGCAGACAAGAGTAAGAGCACGTGGCGACATATTATTGACTACATGACATAGAGTTATATCAGGTAACTTGACAGAATAAAAATTCCTTTTTCTTCACAAAGGAAAATAGATGGGGTTGGGAGCTTATCCTATTATATTATTATAAATTTGCTTTAAAAGAAATTACACCTTGGGGCTAATAGGATTTAGTAAATATGAAATTTTAATTTGGGTTAAATTTGAAAATTATTTGTTATGATATGTATTAAATTAAGGTATATTATTTGCCTACCATTTCAAAATTTAATTAACCATTTCAATACTTAAAAATAATCCCCCGACTATTCATATATGATCAATATTGTCTTCAATTTAGTGTATGTTTTGGACGATTGCATTATTTTATAAATGTGATTGTGAAGCTTATGTGAAGAAAATTGTTCGGGATGAGGAGCAAACCACCACAATGAAAGAAATAAGAAAATAGAAAATCAACGGAAAGTAAAGGACACCACGATTTAACATGGAGAAGCTCAAAATCGGGAAAAAAACTGAGCCACACTATACCAAAAAATTCACTAAAAAATTGGGAGAAATGAGTACAGATCTCTCTTCTCTCTCACTCTCTCCGTGCTTCTCTTCTCTCGTACACCGTTCTCACAGTTTTCACACACTAAACCATAGTTTAAAATTCCGCAATTTGGTATTAATATGTTTTCCGTTTGTGAAGCGATAAGTAAGGCTCGAGGCGTTTTGAGGCGTAAGCCTCAAAATGCAATGATCCTGTGAAGTGAAAATAAATGTTAAAAGTAAATTTTATATAATACCAAAATAATATGTTAAAGAATGACATGTCAGTTTTTTATTAAACTATGAAGTAACAAATTGACATGCATATAAAAAAAAATTACATATGATGTATTTTGAAAAATGATAAATTGTGCCGTCTTCTTCTTCATGGACCTCTTCATAACGGCTTGTACCAACTTCGACGATCCACCGAAGTCACTCCAACGGCATTCTACGCCAGCAGGAATCAAGAAAAGCTTTGGCATAGCCGTTTAGGACACCCACATCATAGGCTACTTAAAGATTTAGTCCATTTAATTCCGACATTACAAAAATTTCAAATGATTTTTCCTGCACTGCTTGTACCGTGGCTAAATGTCACAAAATTTCCTTTAATAAAAGTGTTTCGGTTTCTTCTGCCGCATTTGATTTAATACACTCTGATGTTTGGGGTCCCGCACCCGTTTACTCCTCTGAAGGCTTTCGTTATTATGTGATTTTTATCGACGATTTTACACGGTTTTCTTGGATGTATCTTATGAAAAACAAACAGGAAACCTTCTCAAAATTTAAACTATTCCAGCAATATGTACAAACTCAGTTCCATACCACACCAAAAGCCTTTAGATCCGACGGCGGAGGCGAGTTTACAAGCCATGAGTTCTCGGCATTCCTCCTACAACATGGCATACAAAGGCAACTCAGCTGTCCTCACACGCCTGAACAGAACGGGATCGCCGAGCGAAAACATCGTCATCTACTGGATCTCGCTCGCACATTACTACATGCGGCACATCTACCTGCTACTCTGTGGGCCGAGGCGATCGCCACGGCCAATTATCTGGTAAACCGCTTACCCTCGTCGTCCATCGAAAATCAAATCCCATTTCATCGTCTACACGGTCATCCCCCGAATTACACACATCTTCGAACCTTCGGTTGTCACTTCGTCCCTATGCAGCTACCAAACTTTCGCCGCGATCCCACGAATGCATATTCATCGGGTATTCCCCCTTTCACAAGGGATATAAGTGCCTGGATATCTCCTCGAACAGAACTTATATCTCCCGCCACGTCACATTCAATGAAACCATCTTCCCCTACCAAAATCTCAAACCTGTGCACAATCCAAATCTCTTACCATCACTGCACCGCACTCCACCCTCTCTGCTTATTCCGCCGTCTCTCATAGCTCCACCAACGTCAATGCCAACGTCTAGCACCACTAAACTACCTCAATCCACCAACTCTTCCGTTCAATCTCCTTCACATAACACTGGGGCCAATTCGACCATTCCCGCGATCTCAATCCTTCCCACTCAAACCAACGCCAATTTACCTTCACATCCCATGCAAACAAGACTCAAATCTGGAATTACTAAACCAAAACAAATCCTATCACTTATAGCCACCACACCTCCTACTTCAACCCCAAACACCTATGCTCAAGCAGTCAAGCACTCACACTGGCGTCAAGCTATGTCCGATGAATTTCACGCTCTCCAGAAACAATCAACATGGACACTCGTTCCCCCTCCGGCCAACACACCCATTCTTGGGTGCAAATGGACATTTAAGACCAAACTGCTTCCCAATGGAACCGTCGACAAATTTAAAGCTCGCCTTGTAGCTCAAGGCTACGACCAACAATACGGTATTAACTACCAAGAGACGTTCAGCCCTGTCGCCAAAATGACCACAATCCGCATCCTCCTCACCTTAGCTATCAATCGGAATTGGCAAATCATTCAACTCGACATCTCAAATGCATTCCTCCACGGTGACCTGACCGAGAACATCTATATGCGACAGCCACCGGGCTTTATCAATGCCGCATCACCTTCCTACGTCTGCAAATTGCATAAATCTCTCTACGGTCTCAAGCAAGCTCCGCGACAATGGTTTGAAAAACTAACCTCCTTTCTTCAGACACAAGGCTTCAGGTTTACTCGCTCCGATCCGTCTCTATTATCTTATCGACTTAATCATACACAAATTTTCTTCTTAATCTATGTAGACGACATTTTAATTACAGGGAACAACTCCGCTGCCATCACCGCTCTACTAGCCAAACTACACTCTCAGTTTTCTCTCAAACAATCAAATCAGCTATCTTTGTTTCTTGGCATCAAGATCTCTCAGCAACCCAACGGTCTCTTCCTTTCACAGCAACATTATGCCGAGAGACTACTAAAGGATGCCGGACTAGCTGAATGCAAACCTGCTGTCACACCATTATCTCCCAAATCAAAACACAACGTCTCAACTAGCCAGCCATTTCATGACCCGACTCTATACCGCAGACTCGCTGGCTCACTCCAATATCTCTCCATCACCAGGCCGGACATCGCCTTTGCTACAAATCAGGTCTGCCAACACATGCATCAACCGACCACTCAAGATTTTCAAGATCTAAAACGCCTACTCAGATATGTCAAAGGTACCATTTCATTCGGACTTCCGCTCCAAACCGGCGATCTCATCTTGCGGACCTACACCGACGCCGACTGGGCGTCCGACTCATCCGACCGGAAATCCATTTCCGGTTTCTGCTCCTTTTTGGGACCAAACCTCATATCTTGGTCCGTGAAGAAACAAGTAACAGTAGCAAAATCCTCCACCGAGGCCGAATATAGAGCACTCTCGGCCGCCACCTCCGATGTCATCTGGTTACGTCGCCTCGTCGAAGAGTTAGACATTCCGCAGCACTCACCTACCACGATCCACTGCGACAGCACATCGGCGATTGCTCTGGCCCGGAACCCAGTTTTCCATGCTCGGACCAAACATATTGAAATAGACTACCAATTCATCCGTCAACACATCAAGAACGGAGCTATCTCCCTCACTCACATACCGTCCGAAGATCAAATTGCAGATATCCTAACCAAATCCTTCTCTGCTGTTCGCTTTCACAACCTTCGTCGCAAATTAACCATTCGAACACAGAATGATTAATTTGAGGGGAGATGTAAACGAACAATCTCATACTTACAGTTTATTACATGTTTACCATTGTAATTCTTATATAAAGATCTCTGTACACGCTACTTTGAATTAAATAAAAATACTTTATCTTCTTCTACCTCTGCTCTGTCTTCTTTCCCTGCACGTCTTCTCTCGTTTCCATTTCTGTCATGGTATCATGAGCCAAACCATGGGAGATCAAGAATCTGCAAACTCCCATCCTCCCTCCTCCACCACCATCTCCGGGAACAACAGCAACAACACCGAGATCCACATTCCACAACAACTCAAGTTTCTCATCTCCAACATCAAGAACCTCGTTCCCAACGCTCTCACCACGGAGAACTACGCAATCTGGCGCATTCAACTTCTCCAACAGTTCACGGCGAACGGCTACGCCGGACACCTAACCGGCTCCGTTTCTTGCCCATCCGACGTCTCTTCTCCAGAATACCAACGCTGGCATCTAGCCGACAACAATCTCCTCTCCGCTCTCTTTTCCACAATTTCTCCACCGATCCTGCCCTACGTCATTTCTTGCACCACTGCTCAAGATGTGTGGCTTGTTCTGGAAAAACGGCTTCAACCAACTTGCCGATCGCGCGTAATCCAGCTCAAGAACGAGCTACATCACGTTCAGATGCAAAATCTGACCATGCAACAATATCTCAATCACGTCAAATCCATCGTCGATAACATAGCGGCATCCGGCTCTCACGTTGATGCGGAGGACATCATTATCCACATTCTCAACGGCCTCCCGTCAACCTACAACTCGTTCAAAGCCGCCATCCGCACTTACCCACTACCAATGAATCTTGACAATCTCTATTCTCTTCTATGCAGCGAAGAGATCAATGTTAATCAAGAACTATCCAAAGAAAACTCAGCCTTCTCCAGCGCTACAGCTCTTCACGCCATGTCTTCAATCCAGTCCCGCAACCGGCCCCCACGCAGAT